TGAACAGGCTGGGTGGCGAGAGGCAGCCTGTACAGAGGGGGAGAGCTGGTGCTCTCCATCGCTGCGCCATGTCCACGTGGGTCACATTTTCTTCTCTGAATCTCCTTTATGCCCCAACCAAGGAGCTCAGTGTCCTTAGGCCTCTCCCCTCCGGGAGCTTAAACCACCTAGTTTGGCCCCTTTTCAGGCCAAGTGTTAGCAAAAGAATCTTATTACATTCACTGTACTGAAATGTCAACACGATTCAGCTTCCCTCTCCCAAACCTTTTTTTTAGTAGAGGGAGGCACGGCTCTGCCAACTTGACTGCCTAATGAGTCTTGGAATCAACTATTTCCTCTCCTACCTAGGAAACCATCAATTTTATTTTCTTCCTGAAGGACTGACCCCAGAAATAATCAGATGGATAAAAATAAATGATGTGTTTTTTATAGTTATGGTTTATTTGTTCCTGGTAACCATGTAACATAACTAGGATGAATGTGAGATTTGTCTGACTGTAAGGGTATTTAAATTCTATCACATGCATGTTTATTCTTCAGTTTATTTCTCTGATAACATCGGAAGTCACCCACAACCCAACCAAAATAGAGAGAACTCTGCTCCTAATCTAAGCTCAGATCTTTCTCACCTCCCATCCCCAACATACATGCTTCAGATTAGGCTGTTTTATCAGACATTGGCAATAAATATTCAGCACTTCCCAGGAGAATCTGATATTGTGGAGATATATTTTTTATGATATGGAGCAATGAGAGCTCATATCTTGATAGCATAAAAACAAATATTCCTCAAAATTGATCCCCTGCATTTGCTTTAGCTCTTTGTATTAGTCATCTATTGCTATATAACAAATCACCCTAAAATTAGCACCTTAAAACAACAATAAGCATTATTTCTACAGTTTGTGTGGGTCAGGAAGTTGGCACAGCTTAGCTGGTGATTCTGATTGGGATCCCTCACTCAGGCTGCGAGTCATTGGAGCTGAGGAAATCTGCTTCCCACATGGCTCCCCTACGTACATGGCTGGCAAACTGATACTGCCTGCTGGCAGGAGGCCTCCATTCCTCCTATGATAACCATGGGGCTGGGCCTGTCTTCACAACATGGCAGCTGGCTTCCCCCAAAGCAAGTGATCCAAGAGAGAAAGGCAGTAGCTACAATGTCTTTTACTACCAATAACCTCAGAAGTCACACACTACCATTTCTGCCAAATCTCATTGGTAACATAGACCAGCGCTGCTCACAGGATGGCACCATCCAGAGGTATGAATACCAGTAGACAAAGATCACAGGGGGCATCTAAAAGGCTAGGTATCACATTCATCATGTCACTCTTTCTATCATAAAGGAAATAGACATTTTTTGAATAAGAAATGTGACCAATCTAGTGGTCCTTGAAAAGGGACATTCCTTATTATTAAATTTGTATTCTTTGTTATATTCAACTTATGAGATATTGTCAGTGTCAATAATTGCTAAATGAAGGAAAAATACCACATGATCTCACTCATTCATGGATAATAGAGACCATTATAAACTTTTGAACAATAATAGATACAGAGGCAGAGCTGCCTCAAATAGATTGTCAAACTGCAGCGGGAAGGCCGGGGAGGGTTAGGGGGCAGGAGGTAGGGGCTAAGAGATCAACCAAAGGACTTGTATGCATGCATATAAGCATAACCAATGGACATAAGACACTGGGGGATAGGGGAGGCTAGGGGACTGTCTAGGGCGAGGGGGAAAAATGGACACATATGTAATACCCTTTGTAATACTTAAAGCAATAAAAAAAAGAAAAAATAATTGCTAAAAGTTTTAGAGCTATGGGCACAGTGAGAAAACTTCCTTCTAGATGACTCTAGCGTCACCATGCTACGTCAAGCAGTTTGCTTTTCCTGCTGTATATTCTCTGATGTACTCCTGTGTGTACTACTGCACAAGACCTTCCATTCAGACTTAAAGAGCTTACAGTCTGTTCTGAGATGTGGTTGCTGAATTATTTTAAGTAGGAGAGAAACTAGGCCATATTTGCACTTTATTAGGTTCATTCTATTGCTTGTCTACAGGATGGACTAGTGGTACAGAGGGAGATGGAGCAATACTGGAGACAGAGAGTCCCTTTATCACAGCTCTAGGCACTCCGTATGATTCCTAATTTCCTCATCAACTAACCTGAAGCTCAGCAAATTTAATCACTTATTTAACAAACATTTATGGGTCTCTACCAAACGCCAAGCACCATTCCAGCACTGGACATTCCGCAGTGAGCATATGAGACAAAAATACCTGCCCTTATGCTGCTTAAATTTTAATGAACACAGACCATTTAAACAAACAAGTAAAATTTTATGGTCATTGACAATGAAAAGTGCCATGTAGAACAATGAAACACAGAGGGCATTAGGAAATTATTTGTGTTTTGGGGAATATCGTTGGATACTATTTTAAAGACTGTTCTCAAGA